TTTATTGTGAGGATCTTTGGAGAGGAGTGAGCCCTCTAAGGGTGCTCAGTCCTTTTGGGGCATCCCAAAACACATCTACCATGAGTTCTCTTGCAGAGCTTGTAGTGCCCCACAAGTACTTTAGGTTCTGCACCCACCAAAGCACCAACACAGGGGTGAAAACAAGGCAATTTGTAGTTTTTCTGTCAATTCAGTACAGAAGTGGAAAGTTCTGGCCTTTAGAGTTGCTCTGTCCCAAGGATTTTATTCCTATGAAATTCATAACCTGAGGTAAGAGCTGGCTTCTTATCCAGGTGAGATTCCAGCTGGATTTCAGGTTTCAGGAATAAGCTGAATGATGAGCAAGTGTTTTTGTGTTCCTTGAAACAAGAACAAGACCTCACCCTCATTACCAGGAAAAGGAAACTTGGACCTGGAACACATGAAGTGATTTTTTGCTTCAGCACGTTCACACTGTTAATCACTAACAAATTTTATTGCTTTTACAGGCTTTAAATTCTGCTTTACTGATAAGACACAGCATTTCAAAGTGCCCAAGCCAGTTCCTGCTCCAGGGTGTGTTCTGCTGCCATGGAGGCTCCTTGATAAACCTGGGGTCACTTCACCCGGTTGCGTGATCCAAACAGGTTTTGGTCTGCAAAACACACCTTTGCTTTCACTTTCTGATAAGAATGGGGATGTTCTCTCCTGGAGAACCAGAGAGAGTGTTCTGCTATGGCAGTGCAGACTGGGGATCACCTTCATCTGTTTCCCCTCCTTGTCAGACAAGGGGAAAGCACCTTATGAAATAAATACCACCCCAACCCTCTTGGAGTGCTCCTTTCAGCTCCCTGGGACTGGTGACCCACCAAGCTGCTGTTAATGCTCTTTTCATTTTTCCTATCACCTGGTGTGTAGGATGCAGGATGTGAGCAATCTCTTATCTTTGTTGCCTGGAAACAGCTTTCTGAAATCACCCTCTGGCCTGTCCCTCATTTCACTGCACTGGGGGACAGAAAAACCAGCTGGACATCTGGCTGGTGGGAAGGGGGGACAAGGGAGAGAGACTTCTTTCTGTTTTGATGTGATTTTGTATTATACCTAGGTGATAGGACACTCTTCTTTCTGATGCTCACTGGTTTTGGTCCTTTGAGATTTTAGGATAATTAGTTTACCATTTATGAGCTTCTCAGGGGGATGTGTTGCAGAGAGATTTACCAAAGTGCCTTTTCCTGTAACTTCACGTTTCTCTTTCATCTTCTTGGAAGAATGGAAGAAGTGGAAATTCTTGTTCAGACTTGAATTTCATAATAACTTTTTTTCTGCCACTTTTACAGGTCAAACTAGTCAGACTCTGAGGGGAGGCAGGTATCATGTGGAAGCATTTCTGCGTGAGTAGCTGTGAAATTGTTGGGGCTTTCTTTTCCCTGTTTGGGGCCTTTCCATCTCTGTGGAGTCAGCTTGGCTGCCTTCTGGGAAGAGAGAGCTGATGAGGCATGTTACTGATGAGACAAATGCTTTTTCCTTCTTGCTTTAAATCCCTCAATTTAATTCAAGCCATTGGCACGGGGATGTATGAGAGCTCTTGGCTACCACACACACTTCCTATTGTTGGGAGTGAACAGCCCTGCACACAGCCTGAGGCAAAATTATGAAGTAGCTCAATCAGCTGATTTCTCACAATAGTTAAAAGATGTGATTTTTTTTCTATGATGTTATGCTCTCTTATGAGGAGAAAATAAAAAGCATCACTTGATTCTCAGCTTCATGAGGCCCCACATTTCCTGATACAAGGAATTGGCCCTTCCTCCTCTTGAGTCTTCAAGGTGACAAATTTTGGTTGGGTTTTTTTGGGGCTTTAGAGTGGCCTAGTCAGATATTTAAGTTTTTTCTCCACTTATGGTAAAGTCCATTGGTTGCTGCATATGGGAACCAGGATGAATTTAAGAGGTGATAGCAGAGTAATCCCCACTGGTCATAGTCATAGCAACTGTCAGGAAGCACCAGGGTTTCTCTGGTGCAGCCTGGTGTCTAAGAAGAGAACTGAAAAGGACTGAGGGAGAGAAAGAAGAGTGTCTATAAGCAGGGAAGAATAAATCAGTCCATGTCTGTGGATTGCTGCTCCAATAAGCTTCCAAACACACCTTGGGGAGGGAGCTAGGGGAGCAGGCACTGTGCTGCAGGACACACTTTGCTCAAGGAGCCAGCTGTGCACCACAGGTGGGAAACCTCACCCAGCAACTCTGGGAAAAGTTCAGTGAGCAGGGGCAAAGTCTGCAAAAAAGGGTAAGGACATATAAGGCTCCCTCAAAGGAAAATATGTAGAAAGGAGAGGTACAATGCAGAGTAAGGATTTGTCAGCATCACCCCCTGAGGAACATCCTCAGAGAAAGCAGCTGTGGGTAACAGGCAGCTGCACAGGCAGCTCTGCTCCCTTCCTGCCCTTTCCTCTCTCAGTGTGTGTGACTTTACCTGTTGGTGCATTAAAGGCTCATCAGAGCTGCAAGCTCCCACAGAGCTCTCCTCCAGAGGTTGCACCAGTCTCTGCTGCCTGTACTTTGGAAAGCCATTCTTGGGCCAGCAGCAATACCCTTACTGTATTAGCAAATTCCTCCAGCAATGTCATTTTAATCACCTTAGTGGAAAATGTGCACCTGATTCTTCTGGCGTACCAAGGGCTGTACCCCCAGACTAACCCTCTCTTGGGATACGCAGCTTGGGGCCAGCAACTAATATTTTCTTCTTCTGCTGCCTGCAAACCTGGATTTGGTCTGACCATCCTGGTGATAAACAGGGCTCAGTGCAGGGAGGGACGAGGTGAGGCGTGCCTGTGACACAGAGGAAATCACAGCTGCTCTGAGCCCAGCCTGGCTTTCCACTCTGTCGGTCTGTGTCCCCTGCCACCCAGCCCCAGCTGCCCCTTCCCAAAGCACGAGGTAATGAGAAGGACTGACTGCATTGGCTCATTGAGCTGGGTTTGTTAGAAGACAGATTGTCATGTTAAACAAATATATTAAAAAAAAAAACAAAGTCTCATTCACTGGGCCATGCCCCATCTGGGCCATTAAATCTGAAAGGGGTAAGTACAGCTGTGTCAAAGCTGCACTCAAGAGCTGATTTTCAAGCTGATTTTCACTGTTTGTATGATGGCAACTGGCAACCACTCCATTTCCAAACCTCATTTCCTTCTCCTCCTTTCCCAGATCTGTGCTGTGTCAATTGGAAGCGCAGCAGGGGATGCACACTGCTAAACACAAACTCCACAGACACATTTCCTAAACCCAGCGCTTCCTCTTTATTTCTTACCAAGCTCTAAGACACCTGAGGATGGGAAGGGCTGCTCACTGTTAGCCAGGCTTTTTGTAAATTATACTATTATATCAAAGGTGTTGTGGAAATGTGGGACAGCTCATCTTTCAGGGCTCCAGCAAGTGTGTTTTTTGAGGGAAGTGAGGGGTAAAAACCCAACTTTGAGTTAATCCAGCCTTTCTTTTGATTGGTCCCTTGGTAGTCTGATTAATTTTGAGTGCAGATGTTTCTGCTTTCCATCACAGAATACACCCAGGACCTGGGAGCAGCCTCACAGTGCCGTATTTCCTCCTCACCACACCACTCTTGTTACGGTTGTGCAGCAACATATGCTAAGGCCTTATTACAAGGGATTCCTATAAATGGCATAAAGGATTAATAATGTATTTATAACACAACTTTTTTTTAGTATAAAGTGATCTATAAATTTGTAATAAATGTTTTATAATGTTTTTGTAGCCTGTTATAAATGATAAATGGGAGACTATAGATGCCACATCAAATATTCATGCTGCATTGTGTGCATTATTATGCCATTACTGTTCAGGAAACCATTAATAATAAAGTGAATGGAGATGTAAAAGTTGCTGACATGCCCAGCAAGCCATTTATAATGAAATGTATAATCCTTACCATAAAGTAAATACATTGGCCAGTGATTGTTGATGAAATGGAAACACTCTGAATTATTTGTGAGGTATTTATATATTAATGTATATTATCCATATCATGTCACAGAAATGCCGTTAATGTATTATATGTATTATTGATTATTTTCCCCTAATTTATAGGCAGCTGTTTAAGTGTTACCTTGTCTCTTCTCGTGTTTTGCCAGCTGCCTGAGGTCTGCTGAGTTATTTTATGGGATGCGTGTGCTGCGGGGCAGCTGTTGCGAGGTGGCCATGGCAGCGCTGGAGCGAGCCCAGAGGGGCAGGACGGCAGCGGGGCCGCCTTATCGAGCCACAATCCTTCCCCTTATCGAGCCACAATTCCTGCGGGGACGGGGCCGGGGAGGAACCCGCGGGGCTTCTCAAGCCTGAACGAGTCCAGGGTTTCACGGCACTGCCGGTGCCTGGTGCGCTGCCCCAGCAGGGACAGACAGAGCCGCTGCTCCCGGCTGGCCTCGCCACGGCGAGACCTCGGGGCTGGTTCTGGGCTGGTTCTGGGCAGGTTCTTGGCTGATTCTAGGCTGATTCTGAGCAGCCTAGAAGCCTGATTCTGCGCAGGTTCTGGGCAGCCGAGCTTCGTCCTCCCTCCTCCTCCTCCCCGTTCTCTCTCTCCAGAGGGGCTTTTGCGGCTCCAGCGCCGCTCGCCCTCGGTGTTACCTGGTGATGCTGGGGATGTATCCGCCCTCCCCCTGCTCAGGATTATCCAGCGAACACTTTACATTTAGATGCTCTATGATGCTTTTTAACTTTTTCTCCTCCAAATGGGGAGAAAACATCCCTCCCAGTGACTAAATATGGTTCACGCCTCCTCTGCTGGCCGCCCCTTGGGCAGGAGGTTTTTCTGCGGGAGCAGGGGAAATTTCCCATGCCCTTGCTGCGGGCCCCCGTGTGCCGGGGGTGCCGCTGCCCGTTCCCCGAGGCGAGGCGGCGCCTTCCCCGCCGCTTCTCCGCCCCTGAACCGCCCCAGAACCGCCTCAGAGCCGCCCCTTTCCCCGCCTCCCGCCGCCGGTCCGGCCGCCACCCGCGGGCTGCTCGGCCCGGGCTGGGCACGGCGCGGCGCGGAGGGTCCCGGCCCTGCCCGGCCCGTCCCGGGCCTGCCCGGCCCCGCCAGGCCCTGCGGCTCCCCGCGGGCCATGGCGGCCATCCAGAACCTGCAGCTGTGGTGCCGCCAGCAGTGCGAGGGCTACCGCGATGTCAGCATCACCAACATGACCACCTCGTTCCGCGACGGGCTCGCCTTCTGCGCCATCCTGCACCGACACCGCCCCGACCTCATGTGAGTACCGTGCCGGGCATGGAGGGACCCCCCGCTCCGGGCCGGGACCCGCGCTGGGCTGTGGACCCCGTGTCCTCCATCCCCCCGGAACCCTCTCTGGGCTGTGCCCATCGAGCTGCAGACCCCGTGTCCTCCATCCCCCCGGAACCCTCGCTGGACTCCCGTCCCTCCGTCCATCGAGCTGTGCATGTGCTGTGTCCATCCCACCGTCCGTTGAGCTGCGGACCCCGTGTCCTCCATCCCCAAAGAACCCTCGCTGGGCTGTGCCCATTGAGCTGCCGACCCCGTGTCCTCCATCCCCAAAGAACCCTCGCTGGGCTGTGCCCATCCCTCCACCCATTGAGCTGTGGATGTGCTGTGTCCATCCATCGAGCTGTTGATGTGCTGTGCCCATCCCTCTGTCCATCAATCTGTGCCCATCCTGCCGTCCATCGGGCTGCAGACCCCAGGTTCTCCATCCACCCAAGAACCCTCTCGAGCCTGTGGCCATCCCACCATCCATCAAGTTGTGGATGGGATGTGGCTGTCCTGCCATTCATTGAGCTGTGGACCCTGGTCTTCCACCTTCCTTGGGCTCTTGCCCTCACCAGCAGCATTCTGCTCACACCCACGCTGAGAATCTCCAAGAGAAAAGCTCTGCTCTCCCAGCCTATGTGCTGGTTTTTTCCATACATTTTTCCTTTTTCCCTTTTCTTCCCTCAGTAGCCGGATTATAAATGTTCCAAATGCGTCCTTTCCATTGCAGAACAAGTTCAGGCACTGATCTTTGGGGCAGCATTTCCTTCTTTGCTGTTGTGTTTGCTCTGGCTGGGCTCTCCTTGCTCAGCCCAACAGCAGCACAGTGCTCACAAGTCATGAGGCAAGGGCTATTTAAATAAAATGCAGTAAAAGGGCAGGGCCCCACAGCCACTGGATTCCTGCACATCCTTGTTTTCCCCATCTACAGCTCTGTCTGTGGGAGCTTAAGTGCTTTTTATGCCTTGCTGGGGCCATTTCTGGTGCCCTGTGGGTTTTGAGCTGTCCCTGCCCAAATGTTAGCATATGAGAAGGTGAATGGCCAAAGGGAGCCACAGATCCTGCTTCATAGTTGGGGTTCTTTGAGTTTGGTTAATTTTTTCTTCTGGGCTCTTTGAAGTGGTGGGTTTGAGAGGGAAGATGAAGGCAGACGAACCCTGGAAAGAGTGCCCAGGAGTATTGATTTAAGCATTAGGTCTCTCCTGGTCAGATGTGCCCAGCTGGGTGAGGAACAGATTGGATGATTTGCACTGCAGTTTTCCTCCTGTCCTGCGTCTTCTCCCTTTTTCTTCATGCTCCCAGGACAGCCTGCCACTTGGGTTTGTGTGCAGCCATCCCTCTTGCAGGTATCTTGCTTCTGCTTGAACCCAAGAGAAGAACCCTTGTTTTCTCTCCTCTGTTACCTTGAAACCTGAGAGAAGCTGAAGCAGGCTTGGGCAGCAGAGGTTGGTTCAGGAGCTCCAGGCACCCTTTGTTGTCCCAGTGCTTGCACCGTCACTGTGGTGTTGCCATGAATGACTTCCTGACATGTTGTCATGTCCATGTGACTCCAAATATTTCCTTTCCTTCCTTTGATTCACAGTCACAAAAACACAAAACACCGGGGCAGGAGGGCTGAGGTGTTCTCGTGGAGGGGCTGTGACTGCTTCCTGCAGCTGGCCCATCCGGAGCACGGCGATGTGAGAGCTGGAATAATCCTGTTGCCCAGTTTAGTGAGTTGTTTATAATCCTTGAACTGTGCAAAAAGGGTTGTGGATAGACATCTCTTAAATAAATTTTCCTGTGCTGGAGAGGGAAGATGTTCCTTGAGGCATCTCTCTGTTGCCTTTCATTTTCTTTTATGGCGGGCATTCTGCCTGGCTTTATTTGGGACATCACAGAAGCTCTCTCTGACTCAGACCAGCTCAGCAAGGGCTGCCTGAAGGTTAAAGTAAGAGAAGCCTTCATTTGTCACCTTCTTCATCTGTGTCAGTGCTGTAATTCAGCAATGCACCACGTGTACTACTGACTGGGCAAAGTCCTGCTGGAAGGAAATGGTGCTTTTGGGTGGTTGGTGGCCAGACTTGCCAGGTGCCATGTGTCAGATCCTGGGGCAGAATACTTGTGCAGGTTCTCCATTTATCCCAAAAAGCTTCTCTGAGTGTTCTTGGTGCAGGGTTCCAAGGTGGAGAAGTGCAGCTGGGTGCACGTGTGACTGTGATTTCTCCTTCCCAGGGGTCCATCCTGGGCTCCTGTCCTTGCTTCTACCAAGGATTCTAGTTAAAGATTAAAAACACCAGAATGAAAGTAAAACTAGAAAGGGGTGTTTGGAGCTCTTGGTGAGTTTGCAGCAGCTCTGCTGCACAGATTACTTGCAGAACATGAGTCAGTCACAGCATCAGTTTTGCAACAACGTGTTTTCTGTCTTGGTTTACACAAATGACATTCTTGGGCTGAGTGCAGGGGATTTCTCCTGCAGGAGCCTGAAAAATTACCAGGAAAACTTCAAGCTCAAAACATGAACATAAACACAGGCTTCTCTTGTGAGGTATGTGGCTCAGAGGGCAGGCTGGTGTGGGTCTCTCCTTCCTTCCTGTTTTCTTGCTGGAAAACATATGGAAAATATGATAACTCCTCTCAAACTTAGCCAGTGTTGGCTTGTGTGTTACCCGTGAACAGGGCAAGCTGCGTAAAATTAGAAATGCATTTCCCACTCACTTCCCACTCATGCAAGGATGCCTGGGGGAGTGAAGATCCATGCTGAATTACCATGGAAATCCACTTCTTTTTTTCCAGATAAAGAGTGTTTCAGAGTCAGTCCCAGCTGGGCACACACACAGTTTCAGGCAGGCTCCAGCCCTTTTTCTGGGGTGGTTGTAGAGCCTGGGGACATCTCTTGTCAGAGGAACATGAAGCCTCATGGCAGCATGGTAGGATGCTGAGGTCAGCAGCTGCCATATGTGGTGGTGAAGGTTGTGCAAGCTTCAGCCAGGATTTTAGTGCCCTTGTCCTGATGAATGAGTTAAAGAGGCAGGGGAGCTGTGCATGCTCACTGAGATATTAATGCCAGATGTCGAGGAAAGGTTTTGATTAGGACGCTTCTCTTCATCCAGGATCTTGCTCTTTCCCAGGCTGGTGTTCTGGGAATGGGCTGGTGGTGAAATCCCCCTTGGCAGCTGAGCAGCAGCAGCAGTGCTCCTTCCCCCAGCAGCATTTCCAGGTCAGTGGCAGCTCAGCAGGGCAGGATGAGGTCAGGCTGGGGATGGGCTGTCAGCAGCAGGCTGGGCTGAGGCAGAGCTGCCTTGGCTTGGTGGGTTTGTGGTTTGTGTGACAGGCACAGGGAGGGGAGGATGGCCGGGGGTTCATTTCAGCAGCATTCTGTCCCTTGCCAGTCAGAGCATGGCAGTGTGGGGCAGGCATTCCTCAGAGGAGGATGGGCACATGGGGGGCATCTCCCTCCTGGAATTCCCAGCCTTGTCCCAGCTTTGCATCTCCAGAAAGAGCAGAGCTGAGAGCTCCTGTTCCCAGCAGAGCAGGCTGGATTTGAGCCCCTGTCCAAGGCTGGGAGCTGGCAAAGTGTACCTCACTCCTTTACAGTGATCCTTTTCACTGCACATCTTACTGTCTGTAGAGAAAGTAACACAAAGTTGCCAAAAAGAAGAAACTTTTGGTGCCATTGAGGCTCTGGGATTTATTTAGTTTTTGCTCAGTCTGCTCCAAGGTCAAGTTTCCAATCAAGTTAGTGCTTGCAGCCGCAGAGATTCTTCCTGTGGAGGCACATGTGCTTGCAGAGGACTGTGGCATGTTTGTGAGTGCTGGGTCTGTGCAGCTGGAGCAGGGGGTGGTCACAGAGATTTGTGGGCATGGGAAATGCTCAGCCTCTTATTTGCTAAGGGAAGGGTTGTTTTTTTCAGAGCTAAAAACTTCCCGTGTTTTAAAACAGGAATAAAACTATTCCTGTGCTTGTGAACTCCACTCTGATTTGTTTCCAACACTGGAGGCCTCTCTTGGGTCACATTTATATTTTTCACATTTTCCAATTAATTCAGTTGCCTGTGTTTTCTCAGTGGAGAACTCCTGCTTCTCTGTTTGTATTACCTTTGCTGTCTTAGGATTACATTGGTCCAGAGAGCTTTGATATTCCAAGATAGGAGATGCACCAGCAAGATCAATTTCCAAAAGAAATATTAGATGTAAGCAGTTCACCTGACTAGCCAGGAAAGAATGATGCTGAGAGGTCAGGGGACTCTTGAAATGACCCAATAACCTGGTTGTTTGCACTTTCTTTTGAGGAATAGAAGGGGATTTGAGACATCACAATCAAAAGATTGGGGTTTTTAGGTCTCTGCTGCATGCCAGGGAGTGCACACACCACCACAGCAAACAGTGTTGAGTGTGGCTAAGGCACTGACTGACAATAAATAATAATTCCAGTGTCTTACAAGTCAGAATGACCAAGGAACTGGAGCTGCTCTTTGTTCTTGCAGGGTTTTGCTGCATTTCCATGCTACTGTTTGGGAGCAGAACAGGGAGTGAGGCAAAGAGCTGATATCACCTCCTTCAGCTGTGTCTTAAAAAAACCAATTTTCTGGCCTGACTTAACCCAAGGATGGTTATATCTATTGTTCCATTAAGACTTTTTTGGCACGTGATTATTTTTGTTGCTCTTTTTAAACCATTGTCTCAGGGAAGGGAAATCTTTGGGCAGGAGCACCGCTTGAAGAAAAACCTCTGCAATTGCCTTTGATTGTGCACAGGAAGGACTCTGTGGTTTAGAGATGGGATGTGCCTTGTCTTTACTGCTTGGGGGAGTTTAACCTCAGGGTTTTATCTTCATTCCTTCTGTCCCTGTCCCACACAGCAATGCCAGATGTGGGAAGCAGGGAGGAGGCATTGGCATGATGAGCCAGGCTGTGTAAGGTTCCTCTCTTATTTATGATGTAATGCTTCCCTTTCTGTGCTGAGCAGATAAAGGACCTGGCTGCCTCCTTGCTGTTACAGGCAGTGGAAAAAGTTCCCCTGCTGCGATACAGATCATGTGTTTCTCTCATGAATAGGGTGCTGTGAGCCAGCTTTGCTCTCAGAGCTACCCTGGCTCATCCCACAGGAGAGGGATGGGCTAAGGAGGTGGGTCCACATCAGATATAAAGGTGCTACATACAAGGAATGCAAAGCTGATGCTGTTTTCTGTTTGTCAGTGAGAATTCCCCTCTCAGGTATCAGCAGACACAAGGATTGGAAGGTGAAACGGGGTTATCAGAGAGGGATTGACTCTGCCAGCCTGCCTGGGCAGGAGGAAGCAGTGTTGCAGAGCAGGGCTGCCAGCCAGCAGCCAGTTTTGTGTTCCCTGCTTAGCAAGTGGCAGCCAGTTTCTAACAAAGCTGATGGTGCTGTTTCCTCAGCAAGGGACACGCTCTGCTGTGGCTGAGGGGGCACTGCCAGAGGGCTCCAATTGCAGCAGCACAAACTCTGCAATCCCATCCCTGCCCCAGCACATCCCAGGGTCTCAGCTCCCAGCACAGTGCAGGGAGTGTGGATCTGGGCTGTACCAGGGAGAAGGAAAGCAAATCTGGGGAGAGGTGAAGAGGGAAGTGATGTCTGGAGACAGCAGAAAGGAGTTGTTGACTTTGGCTTGGATTTGTGAACAGTAATTGTCACTTCCTTTTTCAGTTGTTGATTATGAGCACGAATCAAAAGTTACAGCCCTAGGGAAAGCAGGCTAAAATTTTTACTGGCAGCTTTGGTGTTATCAGATGCAGTATGGTGTGGGCAGAGGTTTTCCCAGGCAGATCCCTGGTGCTAGTTTTGTGGAGTTCTGCCAGAGGAAAAAAAGAGGATTTGAAGCCAGAACTTATGTGCTGCTGGACCCAGGAGCTTCTGAGATCAGAGGATATGGGTGTGTTGGAAAAGCATGTGATATGTGCAGTGTGTGAGGGATCCATGAGAGACCTCCTTGGAGCTGAGCTCTCTCTGTGTGGAGACAGCTTTCAAGGCAGGAGAAGAGCATGGAAAGTACTTTTGGGGAGAGAGTGTTCATACCTGGCCAGCAGGTGTTGGTGTGTCTCTTTGAGGTGGGAGGGAACTGTGACAGTGTTCACAGGGGTCTCAGGTTGAGGGAAGAGACAAGGATCTGACTCCATGTTTCAGAAGGCTTGATTTATTATTTTATGATATATATTACATTAAAACTATACTAAAAAAAATACAAGAAAAGGTTTCATCAGAAGGCTGGCTAAGAATAGAAAAGAAAGAATGATAACAAAAGCTTCTGTCTCGGACAGAGAGTCCAAGCCAGCTGTGATTGGCCATTAATTAGAAACAACTCTATGAGACCAATCACAGATGCACCTGTTGCATTCCACAGCAGCAGGTAACCATTGTTCACATTTTGTTCCTGAGGCCTCTCAGCTTCTCAGGAGGAAAAATCCTAAGGAAAGGACTTTTCATTAAAAGTTGTCTGCGACAGGGCAGCAAGGCCTTTCTGGGGGCCAAGAAACCACCCCATGAATCAGAGGTTGCTCCTGGCTGTCTCAGCAGAACCCCTCAATGTGCCTGGGATGTTTTTGCACCAACATGTCCTGTCCACAGGCAGCTGTGGCAGCCAGCCCTGCAAAGGCAGATGTGCCAGAATTGTCTGGTGCTGCCTGTGGGCAGGTGCTGTGCCTGCTGCACATCCCTGTCCTGGGTGCAGCAGTCTGTGACTCTCAGGTGGGCTCTGCCACGCTGCCCTCTCTGGGCCTGTTCAAGGGTGGATGGGATGCTTTGTCCCCTGAGCCAGAGCTGGAACTGGAGCAGTTCACTCTACATCACCAACCAAAGAAAAAAGAGATTTTTCTTCTTTCTGTATTTCAGAAACTTCGACTCCCTCAGAAAAGAAAATGTGTACGAGAACAACAAGCTGGTAAGTGACTTTTAATGTTTACTTTTGGTCTAGTATGGGACGTGGCACTTTGCTCATGTGATTTAGCAACAGAAACCCTGCAGACACAGTGTGCCCATTGTGCTGTGTTCCAATCTTTGCCTTATTCTGCACCTTCCAGCCTTCTCCTGTGGACAGCAATGTCCTGCTTGAAAGCACCTTCAGGGTGTTCACACTTCTTGGCTCACACTGTGATGCCTGTTCCCAGTGTGTCCTGTGGCAGCAGGAGCTCAGACAGAGCTCAAAACATGGACATGTTGAGTGTGTGATGCTCCTGAGGGGTGGAGCAGGAGCTGGGGAAAAACTGGTGTGAGGGGAAGCACAGGGAGTGTCCTCCCACTTCTGTTCCTTCCTGCTGCAGGGGATCAAGGTGGATACATCCTAAAACCTGTCTGGGTGCTGCCTGGACACTTCAGCCTGGTATTGGAGTTTCTCATGTTCTTCCCACAAAGAAAATAGAAGTTAGGCAGGCCAGCCCCCTCCTGCACTGGATTCTAGCATGGTCTTAGTGATCCAAGGAGGGATTTTCCTCTCCTTCTCTCCATTGCAAAAGGAGAGGCAGTGAATTATAACACTTCTCTTCCCCTGGCATTGCTCCATGCAGCTTCATGGCTGCTTGACAGGAGCTTGGGATATGAGCAAACCATGGCAGCTTACCCCTGTCTGGGCTGGAGCAGTGACACTCACAGGCTGAAGTGATTCTTGCCTCTGGGAGAGCCAAACCTGTCCCCTCGTGCTCCTTAGCTCCTGCTGCCCTTCATGCCTGGCATGTCCATCACAGCCCCTGTGTGCCCAGGCTGGGCTGCAGCCTGTGAGGAGTTGGTGACACTCTGGGGCTCAGCCCTGTGTGTTCCTCTCCTCAAGGGCAGATTCAGACCGTGCATTTTGCCCTGGAGGGTTGGTGTTTGGCAGGAGCTGGGGCCTCTTCTCCGTGGAATCTTGGCTGAAGTGCTGAGGATCCCTGAGTGTTGCTTCTTGTCCAGCTGGGCTGATGGTGTCTGCTTGTGTCTGGGAAGTGAGCTCTGAGAGCTGCCTCTGCTGCTTTCATTCATGAAAAGCTCCTTTGTGCTTCTCATAAAGAGCTGCTCCCTTCCTTTGTTGCAGTCTGTCTGTCCCCTCTCCTCCCCCTTTCTGAGTTTCTTTAATGTCCTTTGTTTTGCTCTCTCTTCCTTACTCCACCTGCTGTGGGGTGACTTGTCTGTGTTGTCCTTTCCCTGCTGGTGTCCTGCTGTCCTGGCTGTGCTGTCTGTGGGACTGTCCCTCCACCTCTCTGTGCTCCTGGGCTGCTCTCCAAACTGGCTCCTACCCTGCCTTGCTCTGCCTGTCCTTGGGATACAATGATTTGCTGATTTCTCCCCAAATTATTGCTCTGCTATTTTCCAGACCCTCCTTGATGCCTTACTCATCAGAGGCTTATTTTCAAGGGCTGTATTGTGCATGTAAAAAAGCCTTGTTTGAGGTGGAGCTGCAGTTGGCCATATAAGGTCATCTGTCAAGGAAGAATGTGTCACTTCTCATGTGCCACAAGACCAACCCCAAACCCTAGAAAAATTTCAGTTGGTGGCACTTTTTTTTGTTAGAGATTTCAAAAATATATAAAGAGAAGGAAAGTTTCTAGAGGCCTGGAGTCAGTGCTGGTGGAGGCTGGTGTGGTGTAGCAGGTGGAGCCTGTGCCAGGCCAGCTCAGGTGGCCTCAAGCATATCACTTTCCTATTTTGCATGGACATGGCAGCAGTGCCACTTTCCTTCCCTGGAAAGCCCTTGGAGCTGCACTGATGAAAACCATGATGCAAAACCAACATGTTGGTCTGTGATGGAGGTCACAGGGAGCTGAGGATGAGGGAAGAGACGAGGATCAGACTCCATGTTTCAGAAGGCTTGATTTATTATTTTATGATATATATTACATTAAAACTATACTAAAGAATAGAAGAAAGGATTTCATCAGAAAGCTAGCTAAGAATAGAATAAGAAAGAATGATAACAAAGGTTTGTGGCTTGGCTCTCTGTCCGAGCCAGCTGAGCTGTGATTGACCATTAATTAGAAACATCCAACATGGGCTAATCAAAGATCTACTTGTTGCATTCCACAGCAGCAGATAATCATTGTTTACATTTTGTTCTTGAAGTGTCTCAGCTTCTCAGGAGGAAAAATCCTAAAGACAGGATTTTTCATAAAAGATGTCTGCGACATTGGTCCTTCAAAGGGCAGCCTGGGCAGGCAGGCAGAGCAGGAGGTGACTGGGTCCTTTAGGTGCTGATCCTGTTGGGTCTCCAGGCAAGAGCAGCTCCCAGGAACACGAGGATGCTGCAGGCACAGGGGACACCACGTCCTGATGGTGCTCTCTTGTTTTGCGGAGAAGGATGGATCCTTACTCTGTCTCACTCTGCATTTGGCTCTGCCCAAAGCAGGTGGGAGCACAGAGCATCCTCCTCTCTGTGGTCCAGCAGCCCCTGGCTTGTGTTGCGTGCCCGCTGTCACCCGTGGCAGGAGGTGGCATGACCTGTGTCCCCACTAAACCTCACACCACCAATGTCCAGCAGGAGAACTCGACTGGTCAGACCAGTTGTGCAGTGGGGAGCACTCCAAGGAATGCATTCAGTACCAGTTTACACGGCAGGAAAGTGGCAGGCTGGGCTGGCAGCTGGGGTGACACAGCCGGTGGTAACTGGCTGAAAGCGTTTTTAATGTCAGCTCTGTTGCATTTTTACTGGGATACCCAATGGAAAAAAATGGTAATTATCTTGCTGAAAAATAGTGGCTGTTTGTTTCTTCTAAGCAGGAATGGTTGGCTTGTACACCAACACTGTGTGTGTCCGTGCCAGAGGTCAGATGCGGAGGGGTTTAATATATTCAAGGTTTTTTTTTTAACCCTTTCACTGTGGACTTTAGCAGTAGCTTTCCTTGTGCCTCTGGTCCTACAAGTGCTGTTTTCCTTTGCTGTATTGGCATTTCAACAGGGATGCTTCAAAGGGGGAGAAAAAGGATTTTTTTCCCATAAGTTGGGAAGGAACAAGGCTGGGGAAGGTGCTTAGTGAAAGCCCTAAACTGAGCTGGGCAAGGGTGAAGTTTGGTTGTTGCAGTTTTTTTTTGTATTCTATTAAAGGCTTTTTTTCAGAGGCAAGAGAAAATAGCTTTTTCCTCCTTTACCTGCAGTTTCAAAGCAGAGGACACCAGAAAGAGGAAAATCTACCCCAAATACATGTTAGGCAGCACAGAAACAGTTAAATTGGAAGGCAGCTCTGTATCACGAATTTTTCTGCATTACACCTCTTTTCCCCCTTTCTGCTCTGGGAGAGCGGGGTCTCTCCTGCAGCCCAATTTTCAGATGGAGAAGAGCAGGCAGTAGGAGGCTGGAAACTTCAGCCCAGCACTCAGAGATGAAAGCTGCCTGCAAGCACCTACCAGCCCACCGTTAATTGGGGAGAGCTCAGGTTGGGCTGGGAGCCTGGAAGCAGCTCTGCCAGCCTGGCCTGGCACATCCCCTTCTGCCAGCCTGGCTCTCTGCAGCTGTGCACTCACACACACAGGCAGGCTGCAGGAAGAGCAAGGCAAGCCCAGGTGAGTTACTGAGCACTGAGCTATGGCCAGCTTGCCAGGCCAGATTTTTGGCTCCTTGCCTGGGTTTCTCAAGGCAGTGGCTGGAAGCCATGACTCCGTTGGTTCCTATGATGTAGGAGTTAAACTGGTGCAGCTGTTCCCCAGTTGAGTTATTTTTATTTGAGTGGGGCTGTTTGCAGTGCACTTTTCTTACTTTTGATGAGGAGCAGCTCTGCTGCCTGCCATGGATAAGACCCCTCTATTTTTATTTTTATTTTATTTTTCCCTTTCTGCAGGCATTTCGGGTGGCAGAGGAGGAGCTGGGGATCCCAGCCTTGCTGGATGCAGAGGATATGGTTGCTCTGAAGGTACCAGACAGGCTGAGCATCCTCACCTACGTTTCCCAGTATTATAACTACTTCCATGGACGGTCTCCTAGTAAGTACCATATTCCCTGGAGGGCTGGGAAGCATCAGGGCTTCATTTCAAGGCTGCATCAGGGCTGCATTTCCTCCTGACAAACTTGGAAAAAGCAAAATAAACTGCACAGAGGCCTTCTTGGTACCAGAACTGTTTCACTGGGGAGATCTGAACTCTTTGCCCACCAGCCTACAGTTGCCCCAGTGCTTTTGGAAGGGTACAGGGCCATGTCTTGTCTTTGAAACTCTACCTTAAAATTTAGAATACAGTCTAAAATTTCATGTGGTCCAGCCAGAGAGGAACACTGAAGGTTCCTCTCCATGGTCCCCACCTCAGCTTTCCATTCCTGAGCACCTCCACCCCTGTTCCAGTCTTTGCCATGCCTGAGGGCTGGTGAGAGCATGGAGCAGAACAAGGCTGAGCTTGTCTGTGAGGCTGTGCCAATGTGACAGCATCAGTGGTAGGGCTTGTACAGCACAGCAGCACTGATGGAAGGAAGGAGAAGAAAATTATCACCCTAACTGACATAATTGTGATAGAAATTCTGTCAAACATAAAACAGAGCTGCCAAGGCATTATATTCATGTACTGGAGAATTTAGCTGGGCTCACAGGAACATTTTTGTAGTCTTGGTTTATATTTGGCTTTAAGCTCACACAAAATGAAGTAATATAATAAACCAATTTTACAGGTTCCTCCAGAGGAAACTTTCTAAAGTGGGACATGAATGACTTAAGTGGTTAAGGTGAATGTAAATGGAGAGATATGTATTGAAAATGTCCTACATCTTGGAAAGAAAGCACAATTCACTCAGAGCTGCCTTTAATGCTTAAACTCTTCCTACTTCTCCACCTCTTTACACATTGAAGCATGCTTTTTCTCTCCTTCCACAACTTCTTCTCTCCCTTTCTTCATTTTTTATTTCTTATTTTAAAACTGTTCTCATTGAAATCAAACAAATTCTGTCATGTTCATGCCAAGTGGTGAGAATCTGGGTCAGGCTGGGGTCTTTGCCCCCTCCTCCCTGCATTTATCTGCAACATCATCAAGCACAGCACATTTTTATACTCCCACAAGTGTCCCTCAAAACTCTTTTGGTTGCATTCCTGTTGCTGGGGTGAATGGGAATGTCTGAAAATGAGGAATGTGCCCTCTGACACGGAGCGGAGTCGCGGACGCCCAGCCGTGCCCTTCAGATGGGTTCCTGAAACAAGCAGGACACAGGAGGGCAGGCAGGGAGAGCAGACAAGGCATTAGTGAGGCCATGCTCTTGTGGATGAGCAGAGTTGAAGCCACCCATCTTTGTGCTGGGTTTTGGGATTTCAGTGAGTGGCACAAGGGGAGTGAGGGGCGGTCTGAGCCTGAGCTGTGTGATGTTTAACCTTGCCCTGCTCCCTGCACTGGGAGTGCTGGGTGTTTATTTGGAGACTTGGCTTTCTTGAGGGCAGACTGCTGGGAACTGGGCTCCCTCTCTGCTCCCTGCCCTTTCTGTGTTTACTGAGCAGGGTATAATCTCTTTTCAGATGAGTGGCCATTGAAGTGTCACTTGGAAGTGGAGCTGTGGCTCAAATATCCCACAAGGAACACTGAGACATCTCATTCAGAATAGGAAGTGGTGCAAGAATAACATCCCCGTGAGACACTTGGGGTTTGTGTCTGTAAAACCTTTGCACAAAGCCTTAGTTCCCAGGGAAGGTTCCCTGCCCTTCCCAGGGCACAGGGCACCATTCCCTGCTTGACTGAAGTGTGCTGGAGATTCTCTTTTCTCCACTTGTAGTGAATTTTGAGGGGTTCTATTCCATCTGCAAAGAAAAGAGAATTGAGCATTTTCAGGCTGCTTGTAGCAGCTCTTGGTTTCCACATCAGCACCTCTATGGCACCTCCAAGTCTTTGCAGAATTACCTATTTTTAGTGGTCATTTCCACATTCAACAAGGCTGTTTGCTCTGTGGGAGTCCCAGCTGGGGTGTGGGGTGGACACTTGCAGCAGTGAATGTTCAGGCTCTGTAGGAAGTCTGGAGCACAACAACTTGAATGAAGCAAACCCTCTGTTTGCAAACCCTTCATCTCCTTAGCAATGACTCCTCTGCCTGTTCCAGCAGGGCCTGTTCCAGCTGGGATCAGTTCCAGCCAAACCATGGGCTGGAACTGAAAACCCAAGGTCTTGTTCTCACCAGCAGTAGATGATGATTTGCATTTCTTCACTTTTGCATTTCTCTTCATGAAATTCTCTGATTGCATTTCTTCCCTCTTGCATTTCTCTTCATGAAATTCCCTGAGAAGAGAAAAATCAGCAGTTTCAGAATGTTGTTACAAATCACTTGTTGCCTCTTGCCCCTCAGTCCAGTACAGAACTGCTCATGAAGGAAGTCTGTGTCTCCTTGTGTGCTTTTCATGGCACCTCTGAATATTCTTACTTTATAAATTATTTCTTAACCTGTGAGTTTTCCTTATGTTTCCTTTAAAATATTCCGTTCTTCCATTCTTCCAGTTGGAGGCATGGCTGGAATCAAGCGTCCTTCCTCTGAATCTCCAGAGCAGCATCCTGGAAAGAAAACTGCTCCAGAGCCTCCCAAGCCAGTGCCACCAAAATTGCCTCCTGCCCACCCACCAGCCAGAGCCAAGCCAAAGGAAACCTCCCCAGTTACCACAGTAAGAAATGTGGGTTTGGGTGTTCCTTATACCCTAAATGTGCCCAGTGAGATGGGGAGTACTGGGCTGGTTTAGAGCTCCTGCTGGTAAGGATTTAGTCCCTAAATTTTCTGTTCACTATTAGTGATTTAATTCTGGCATAGATGGAGGTGGGAGTCACTGGAAAACCATCAGTCAGCCTGGATACTTCCTGAACAGGATGTGGATGTCTTAGGACATGGAACATGTGCTGTTCCTAGATATTGGGAATGGAGATTTTACAGGATATAGTGTTTTTTTTGCTAGAAAACATTGATCCAATTATTGGATATGGCTTCAAAACAGAGTAGAGATGAAAACAGGGTAGAAGCCCTTTCCCAGCTCATTTAAATCAGAGACCTTTGCCTATAGGCAGACAGGACACCGTGGTCCTCTGGTTTTGTGGGAACATATTCCCCATGCTCTGTCCTTCCAAGGGCTGTTCCACTTCTATGACCAAGAGATTAGAGGGAGAGGGAATTTCCTGGGTGTCACTTCTCTGTCCTGGCTGTGCAGGTCAAACACTCACCTTCTTGGGAGATTTGTAGCTCTGTCCAGTGCCATGCTCTCGTCTGCTCACCCTCTGCTTCTCCCCACAGAAAAGGGTCCTGGCAGAGAGTGGGAATGTGCCCAGCAGCAGCTGTGGGGTCTGTGGGAAGCACGTGCACCTGGTGCAGCGCTACCTGGTTGATGGGAAGCTCTACCACAGGAACTGCTTCAGGTACAGCAGCTCTTCAAGGCAGGGGCACAGCCCTGGGGCTCACAGAGGGCCACCCTGGTTCTTTGGGGCTGGAGAGAGTGGTGTGGCTCATTTTATTCAGAGTGGAGGCAGTCTGAGCTTGCTCTTGACGTGTGTAAGGGAAACTGTCTTCACTGGTTTGTTTTCATCCACACCTTTCCTGCTTCAGGCTGTGCTATCAACAGCTCTTGTTCTGGTGCCTGAGGAGTGTGCACACAGGGTCTGCTCACTGCCAGTGTGGTGCCTTCACCCTCCTGTGGGTGGTGGAGTTGTGCCTGCACTCCCAGCTGTGTGTCTCCCAGCACTCTGGAGGATGTTTCCTGAGATTTTTGTATCCACAGGTGCAGGCAATGTTGGAACTTGCTTCTTCCTGGAAGCTACAAAGCTGGGCCTGAGCCCGGTACGTTCATCTGCACCAGCCACCAGCAGCCAGACAATGTCCAGATCTCTGGTCTCCACAGTACTGGTAAACAGCCTGACAGTGCCCCAGCCCCTGCTGCTGCCAGGGCGTTCCAGAAAGCAGCAGAACCCAAGAAACCAGAGCAGGTGTTGAAGAAACCCAGCCAGGAAGGCCTCACTAATTCAACCAAGCCATCTGTTTCATCTTCTGGAAGCTCTGGCTTCAAAAGTGTAAATACTCCATGGTCCTCCTCAGCTGTAAATAAATCAGATGACTGCAAAGGTGCCTCGTTGGGGAATAAAGCACATCCCCATGAAGGCAGCCCAGCAAAGCCTCCTTGGACATCCTCCACAACAAAAACACAGCAAGCACGAGAAAACTTTTTTCGCTCTTTGGAGTCCTCCAGCAATAAATCTCCTGAGACTCAAAAACAAGTCCAGTCTCCTCAGGGCCCTGATAGAGCTGCCCCTGCCAGAAGCATTGCTGAGGTCAGTCGGGTGACTGCAGGGAAGGATCAGGCACGTAACCATATTATACAGGCTCTGTCTGCAACAGGCACTGCTCCAAGCAGGCCAGGAGGACTCAGTTCCACTGGCTCCTCAGCCCCTGGCAGGTAAGCACTGTTTCTCTTTCCCTTTTTACTGCCAAGATGTTCCTTGGAATAATTTGAGAAGCCCCTGCACCTTTCTTTGCTTTGTCCTGACTGTCTTGTGGCTCAGTTTTAAAGGCATATAGAGGGACACATAGAAATCATTGGAACAGAAGCAAATAAAAAGGTCCATCCTTTCAAAAAAACTCATTAAGTTGTTCTTTTTTGCAGTGGCAAATTTTCTCCCCCCAGTTATCAGAGTCCAGATCCAAAACCACAGTCCAGCAAAACAGGGTGCCCAGCACCAAAGCAGGAAAAGATCACAGACCCTGTGCCCAAGAGCCAGGCTGCCAGCAAACCTGCTGAGCCTTTGCACAAGCCAGAGCCAAAAGGCATCAAAGGTGAGGATGAATGATTCACACAGCTCTGCCTGGACACAGCACTCCAGCTTTATGCCTTCCTCTTGGACCAGTGCAGCAAATGTGTTCATGACTCTGTCCTTTGTGTCTGTGAGTGTTTTCTGAGATGTGTTTTCTCCCTGTGTGCACTATCCCTGTGCAACTGCTCCCTCTAGCATGGGGAGTTCTACTGCTCTGAGGATCTCCAGGTATTTGAAGTTGTACTTGCTGTCATCAAGCATTGGGATCATGGTGGCTTTCAAAGGCTTAGGGTTTCCCAGGTGGGAGACCTTGCCAGAGCTTTGGGATGGTTTTTTGATTGCAGTTGCAAGTCACCCAGCCTCCTTGTCTGTTTTGTACCAAGCTCCTATCATGGTGACTTAGCAGTAGGCCAGGGGATGATATCTGGGGGTTCCCAGTGTCCCAGGCACTTTCAGGTCACCAGAAAAACTCTCTGTTTGCAGTTAGCTGTGACTTTGTGGGGCTTGTTTGTCTCTTCCTGCCCCAGCCTTTGGTCTCTGAGATCTGAGCTGTTTGTGTTGTATTGCTGTTGAATGTGCCTGTTCACGTACTCTGCAGCTGAATTTCTGTAACTGTGATTGATCTTAAAGTGACAAAATGCCACTTAGATTACTTACTACCTATTGTATCTGAATCTGCCCATGTTAAACTTGTTGAGCTGGTGCTGGTTTGCTGCAATAACATCATAGTACCTGCCCCAGTGAATGCCTTATCTCCTAGGATTCTCCTGAGACTCAAATCTGGCTTGTTTCTTTTTATTGGATGCTTTTGTTCTTGTGTATTTTTATTTCCCTTGCTATGTTCTTTTCTTCAGGAAGCACAAATGTTGCTGACAACAAGTCTGAGAGCCCAGAAGGGTGGAGATCTCGGTTGAAGCCTGTGGCCAACAAGTGAGTGTCTTTGCAGCTGGTGGGTTTCCACACCAGATCCACACCAGGATGGCCAGAACTTTTCCTATGGACCATTCTGCATGAGGGATTTTTCCTAACTTTGTCTTTTTTCTTTACAGGGACCAAGATGGCTCTAAGAAACCTGCTGATAACTGCCAGGTGGGAGCAGGGAGCCCAGCACAGAAGGAGCCAAAGCCAAGCCCATTAGTTGTCCCACCAGCAAAGCAGGACTCTGGTATGAAGGATAAAACCTTTGCCTTTGTTTTGCTGATCAGGAAAGGGACAGGCATTGTACTGCAAGGATGTGTTGGTGGAGAATGTGTCTTTGCTTTCAGGGATCTTTGCTCTCTGCACCTGCTTTAGCCTTGTGGTGCCTTTATTTTTGATGGATGGCTTCCTATCCTTCCCCAAGGAGAAGGACTCAGTATCCATAGGGTTCCCTTTTCTGCTAGACAGCGTGCAAGATTCCACTTACCCTCTCTTGCATGATTGTATAATGTTGAGAAATCTTAGTGGTGGTTCCCAGCTGTTTATTCTCCTCCCAAATGTTTATTCTCCTCTTACTCTGACCTTGTAATGAGTGTTTTTTCCCTGTTTACTTTGGGTTTATGCCCTTCATTATCATCAAGAGAGGAGAATTAGGACTAGAAATGGAGTTTGGTAGTGGTGACTGCCAGAGACATTTGGCATTAAAGGGATTTTTATGAGATAAGGGTTGAAATTTCTTACCCAAAACTGCTCTGTGCTTCTTAATCCAGCTTCATCTGGTGGATTCACAAAGAAGTTGTTGATTCCCAGTTCAGATCTTATCAGGAGCTGTCAGAATGCAAAGCAAGACTGGAAAGATCCTGGAGGGTCTGCCAAGAAAGAGGAAGATGGCAACCGGTTGAAAACAAGCACTGCTACATGTAAGATCTCTTCTGCCTGCCAAAGTCACCCTCTCCCCTGCACTGTCAGGGAACAGCCTGAGTGGTCAGGGGGGGTTATGTGTCCCAGGGTTTTCTGTGCCTAACCCTGTGGCTGCTGTCATGGGGGCAGAGTCTGTGTAATTGATTTTTATTGGCCAGCTTGGCCTGAGCAGGAGGCAGCAAGGCCAGAGAATTCAGTGGGAAAGGAAGAAATTGAAATAGGAATTTTTCAAGGTCACTGCCCTGTCATTCTTTGGACTTATGAAATGCTATGAAGAGGACCTCTCCTAATTTGGGGAACTGGGATCTGGTTGATGTCTCTGTTCCTCTTCAGCTGAGTGGCTTTAGGAAATAAAAGGAATGCAGAGAATTGTCATCCAGAGACTCCAGCTGGCAGGACCCACAGGAGCAGGAGCCAAGGCTGCTGTTTCTTTGATATTCAAAGATGTCCTGACCAGTTTTTTCCTACTCTTAATCCAGTTTCTTACTCCTGTTTGTTCAACCATAGCTTTACTGTGTACCTCTCCTCCGAGTTATCCTTGCTCTGACACATCCCACCACAATGCTGAGGAAATTTTCAGGAGCTAACCTGATGTTTGCTGCTGTCCTGTTTGCTCAGCTTCTTTGTGTCCCTTTTCCTTGCCCCATCTTGCTGTGTCTTACCTGTCTGGAGTAGAAGCTTCACACAGCAGGGCTCAGGCCTGCCCCTGAAGTTTGTCTTGGGCAAGCAGGATGGATCCTGGTGGCTCCATGGCCTCATGCTTCATTTTTTGTCAGCTGGTTCCAGTATTAGCCAGCACCTTTGACAGCTACCAAACATTCAGTCTCCAGTTGTGTTGTCTTTTTTAAAAGTTTGCTGTGCCTCCTTTGCCAGCATTTTCCCAAAACTTCCCAGCTCCTCTTCCCTCAGCCTCAGCCTCAGGGTTCAGCTCCGGTCTCTCCCAAAAGTGAGTGAGCTGTTCAGATAAGGGAGGCTGGGTTCATATCTGTCTTCCTAAAGGTTAATGATTGCCATGGGGCAGGGCCATTGGGAAATGTTCCTGGCAGTGTCCCCCAACTTTTCCCCAGCTGAAAGGCTGGTTCCTGCTGCTGCACTGGGCAGGCTGTGGGGTAGGGACAGAGCTCTTGCTCCTTCCTCTCTGTAGATTTTACCCCATCACTCAGAGCTGAGAACAGTCAGCTGCTGTTGCTGCCCTCAGTCCTGGGCTGGTGTTGAGCTGGTGAGAATTTCTGTAGATCATTTTCTTTGGTGGTAGGTGATGTTTTCTGCTGAGAAAGGAGGCTCCAGGCTTTTCCTGCCAGCTGTCCTACTTCCAGCTTGCTGGCAAGCAGCCAGCCCATCCTGTGTCTGTCAGGCCACAACCCCAGGGTATCAGGGGATATCAGATCCTGAGCTGGTCACAGGGTGTCACTTTACAGGCTCTCCCCCTGCAGTGACCCTGGCCTTCTCTCCATCAGGGCTGCAGCTCTCTGCCGTGCTTGGAGGTGCTGCAGAGCCCACCTGGGAGGAGCCCAGGGATGCAGGACTGAGCTGGGAGAGGGAAATGTTGTTTGGGCAGGCAGCTTGAGGCAGGACAAGCTCCTCTTGGAGGAATCTTTAAGAGAAGTGTGGGTTGCAGGCAGTGCACAGGCAGCAAACAGCAGCATCCAGAGGGAAGGGATCCCTGACAGAGCCCAGCAGTGCAGGAACAACACAGACACATCCGGCATCTTCTCCTTTTGCACTCCTAGAAAGCACAATGGGCAACTGGAGAGCTGTCCTTGAGCTCTTCCTCAATCTCCAGAAACACTCAGGAGGCTCCCCATGTCTGTCTGTCCTGCCTTTCTGCTTGTGTGTGCTGAGCCTGCATCGCTGCTGCCTTTGTTACAGCCCTGTTCTTTTGATAGCAGAGTTTTCCTCCCTTATCTCATCATCCACTCACGCCTCTGTTCCCTCTCTGTGGTAATTATCCAGCCCAACCCCTTGGGGATCCAAATACCTCACACTCTTCTGTAGTTATCCTTGCAGCACAGTTGGGCAGAGGAAGCTGAGGCACAGTGGAACAAATACACATTGCTTAAGGATTGATTTTAATAGGTGTCCAGAGCCTGAATAATGCTGTGTAGTGGGGCCTAGGGGACTTCTCACCTAGGAAGTGTTTTGTGGGAGGAATTGAACCTTAGTTTCCTGAGGTCCCCTAGACCATCTTTGTTTCATCAGTATTTACTGATACTCCTTTGTAAAAGAGCACTAGGGGGACATTTTTAGTGTGTCTTGGTGTTTGCTGTGACAGTAACCCTGTCTTTCTGTGCTGCCCTTTGGAACCTTAATAAGGAACAGGTTTTGCCACAACAAATATCTTTGGGTTTTAAGATAGTGAATGAACATGCAAGTCAGTATTCTTGGGTGGAAGTTCCGAAGTCACACCTGAATTAGGTGACTGCCTATACCCTGGGGTTGAAACCCTGAGGGACAAGCCACAAGGAGTAAATCAGATTGTGAGGAGATGTCTCTTACTTTGGCCAGGCATGTGGATGCATGTGTATCATCCGTGACCTCTGTTGGGTAGCTGGGACCTGTTGTGCTCTGGTGCTCTGGGACAGGCACTGTCCCACACCATAAAATCATTTAAAGGTTGTTGTGATTTTTTTTCTCTTGTAGTTAAACTCCCTGTTCCAAAAAGCGAAGGAAAGCCTCAAGTGGTGTCCCCAACCAAGGTATGGCTGGAAATCAGGTGTAAGAGGAGATGGGTGGGGTGGTTAAATACCTTTCTGGAGTGCTTGTCCAGATATATCTAAGTTTGTCTTATTGGGAGGGTTTGTTGGGATACCCAGGGAAAGGATGAAAGGCTCTGGGGCAGAACAAGGTGGAGAAGCTGCTGGTTATCTTCCATGCAAGGAGACAATCAAAGCTGGAATCAGGCAGAGCCAAACAAAACTATGGCAGACATTGCATTCCCCACAGAAGGAGGGAGAATTGCTGGCAGGTGTGGGGGAGTTACCACTGACAGCAGATGTGTCACAGCCCTGCAGTGGCCAATGACAGCAGATGTGTCACAGCCCTGCAGTGGCCCCTGCTCTGGTGTGAGCAGCCAGCTCTGCCCCTCTGCTGGCCTGGCCCTCTCGGGCTGTGGCTCTGTACCTGGGCTCCTTATGCCTTTCCCATCTCTGTGGTGACCTCACCAGGCAGTCTCAGGGCTCCTGAGCTGCATTTGGCCCTACATTTTTATTCCCTAGCTGCACCCAGACTACCTCCCTGAGGAGAAAATCCAAGAGAAGGTTTGTGCCATCGAGAAGCAGCTGGACGAGCTGGAATTGAAGGGAGTGGATCTGGAGAAGCAGCTGCGTGCCTGTGAGGGAGGTGAGGAGCTCTGGTGCCAGCTCTGCCCTGCTGGGGAGCTGTGGGGCTCAGGTCCCACCCCTGGGCACTCTGGGCTCCATTTTTAGGAACTCGGGCTGCGTGTGAGTCACCAGGTTGCCAGGGGTACCTGGTATACAAAGATAAAGCCTGGGGAATTTTGAACCTTCTCTGGCTGTTTTGTAATATATTTTATAATATATTACAAAATATAATATATTACAAAATTAATATAAATATTTTTTGAGCAAGGTCTTGTGTTAATTTGGCTGAGGATCAGAGTTTTGGGAGTCCTGTAGCAGAGGATCCATAAGTAGCTTCCTTGAATCCACAAGGAGTGACCTGCATCCCTTGGGGCTCCAAAGATTGCCTGTTTTCACTTGGGGTCTGGAAATCCCCACACAGGCCCTTGCTTTCAAGGGAACCAGATGGAATTTGCTCATGTCTAAGACTCTAACTGTTGGGTTTTTTCCCGTTTTTTCACTTGAGGTTGCCTAGGCTCTCCCTCAAGAGATTGTGTGTTTGAGCCAGGGTGCTGAACTGATGCAGCTTCTTGCCCTTTGTCTCCTCTGTAGATGAGTCTGAGGATGCCCTTATGGTGGATTGGTTCAAACTGATCCATGAGAAGCAGCTGCTGCTCAGACAGGAATCAGAGCTGATGTACAAGTGAGTAAATCAGAAATTCTGCTCTCTGCTCGTGCACTTCCTGTGGGCAGTGAAGGACAGGGAGTGTGGCAGCCCAAAACAATCCTGTGCCAGTTGGTGGGATGAGAAGGGTTGACGGTGTCTCTGGGAGAGCTGCCAGCATGCTGGTGCATTAGCTGGTGGGCTTTGGGCACCCAGGGTCTGTGAAGAGCTCGTGAGGAGGGAAACATCAGAAATGTGGTGGAGGAAGATTTCCCCTGAGCCAGCAGCCCCTGACCAGGTGGTGGGTAGCACAGAGATGAGGCTTTATCATGACAGGAGAAGGGTCCAGCCCTGGGGCATGGCAGGGCAGTAACCCATCACTTCTGTCATTCCTTCCAGGATGAAGCAGCAGAACCTGGAGGAGCAGCAGTGGAACATTGAGATGGAGCTGCGAAGGCTCATGAGCAAACCTGGTAAGGACTGGGAGTCCTGCTGGGAGCCTCCACCTGTGTGCCAGCCCTGGGATGTCCTGCAGAGCTGAAGGCACTGCACTGTGGGTGTCCCTGGGCAGACTCCCTGTGAGACCCAGCCCACCTCTGCTTGGTGAGGGGATGTAGGATGTGCCCCTGAGTGTGAGGATTGTAAAACTGGGATGGAGGCAGGAGCCACAGTGGGGAGGCACTGCCTGTAGCTGTGAGATGGGCTTCCCTTGTCTTGTGCAGAGGAACTGAAGACTCCCAGGGAGAAGGAGCAGGAGAAGGAGCTGCTGGAGTCGTACCTGAACACGGTCAATGACCGCAATAATATTGTGGATTGCCTGGATGAGGACAGGCTCAGGTGAGGCTGCTCAGAGCCAGCCCTGCTGTATTTCCACTGCTGCCCAGGCTGTAGGGGTGGATGGGTGGCTGTAGTCCAGACTTCTGCTCCAGGGGAGGTGGGTGGTCACCTGTCATCAACATCTTGTCCTGAATGCTGCTGTCTTTGCATCCTTGGCAGCTGTTGGGAAAAGGTCAGGACCACAGCCCTGTTCTCTCTCAGGCTAAAGCTGCTGTGAGAACTGGGCTGGGAGATGTGGAATGCAGGGGAGGGGAGGAGATGGGGAGGCTGCAGGCAGTATGGGAGATGCAGGAGCAATCTGGGAACATGAAGTCAGGAATGTCTGCTGCAGCAAGTGGAAGAACAACTGTGGCCAAAAGCTGGATCCTTCCCAAGTTCAAAGGAAAACTGTCAAGTAGCTGGATTTGTGCCTCCTGATGCTGAGAACAGCCTCCATTTGTTGACCTCAGAGCAGCAGCTCCTGCTTGTGGATTCTGGTGCTGCCAGGACAAGGTGGTGACAGCAGTGTGCCTGTCCCTGATGGCAGTGAGCTCCTCTGTAGCACCCCAGGCTGCTGTGTCTCAGCTTCACTCATCTCCTGGGGTGTGCTGGTGTCTCACCACTCCATGAACTCTGATGATTCATCTGCCAGCTGGGAGAAGGTCTGGAAATCCCCACACAGGCCTTTGCTTTCAAGGGAACCAGATGGAATTTGCTCATGTCTAAGACTCTCACTGTTGGGTTTTTTCCTGCAGCTTCTCAGGGTGTGCTGTGGAGGTTGGTCATTTCTTACTGGGGAATAAGAGCAGTATTTTCATGGGCTTTGGTATCTACCAGCTTGTCATGAGCACAGGAACGTTTCCTAATGCCATGCTGTTCCATTGCAGAGAGAAAGAGGAAGACCAGATGTTGGCAGACATGATACAGAGGTTGGGTAAGGGCCCTTTCTCCTCTTCCAGGGCAGCACTGGGGCTCACTGGGGCTGTGGGTCTCAGCCTGCTCTGTGTCTGCTCCCTCTCCTGCAGATGGATCTCTTGAGAGCCACGAGCCAGAGAGGAAGAAGAACAAGTTCCGCCTGTCCAAAATATGGAAGCAGAAAAAACAAGAATAAAGCTCAGGAGCTTGATGTTCCTTTTCCCAGTGGCCCAGAGAGACCCATCAGAGGTGTGGTCCTTCCTCAGTGCTGTGTTCTTGGAGCTGTGCAGGACTGTGAGAGGCCCCAAAGGGCCTGTCAAAGGTGTGGTGCTTCCTGAGTGCTGCTTTCCTGGAGCTCCTGGGCTGTGAGAGGCTCCTGTGCTCCCTGGCATGGAGACTGCAGGTTTGCTGGCCAAAGGACAGTGTGAATCCCCCCTGGCCCTGGTGTGGGGCCCGGGGATACCACGTGGACTTTTAATACTGTTTTCCTTCTCTGGGTCAGAGCTGGTTCAGCCTTGCTGGTAGCTCAGGAGGGCAGAGCTCAGGCTTGCCACCCAGTGCCTGGGTCAGAACAGTCCTGAAAGCAGGAGCATGGGCCTGTATGGCACCCCACAGTGTCCCATGCCTGTCCCAGGGCTGCTCCAGGGCTGTGGAAGGGCCATTGTCCCTCCCTTCCTCCTCTCTGCTTGTGCTGTGGCTCTTTGGCCAGGTCAGAGATGCAGGGAGGGAGATGCTGCAGGGCCAGAGGGGTTGATGGTTCCCCTCTCATCACACCAGTGCAAACTGGAGGCTCCATGGCAGGGGGAGCAGAGAGCAGAACCTCTCTGTGTGTGGTGTGGGATGTTCTCCACCCACAGCAGTTTCAGCAATAGTGATTTGTTTCCAGACCTCTTTTGGAAGTTGCTGTAGGCTGATTTCTCAAAGCCATGAGAGGCTGCTCACTGCTTCATTCCCTCTGTGGGGGAGATTTGTAGCCTCCTTATTTCTCTGACTGCTCAGTGGAGCAGTGTTTTCATTGTCTGTGGCCTATCCTGATGAAAATGAACAGAACCATTATTTTATTAACCAGGTGCTAACTTGGGAGCACAAGGGAATACATGGATTTGTCTCACCCCTGATTCTTCTGCTTGGGACCAATATTTCAGTTCCTGAGCTCCATCCCTGGACATCCAGTGCCCTCAAGGGGTGTTGTGGGTAACCTTGGTGAGAGCAGAGTGCAGGAGCAGGTTCTGGGCTGTTGCAGGGAGCCTTTCCACTCTTCCCTTAATGCACCCTGCCCTGGGTGCACCCTCTGTTCCCATCAGCCTGGGGAGCAGGGATGGAGACAGCCATGGAAAGATCAGATTCATTCATGTTGCTTCTGGTCTGTGCGACCTCCTCCCTGCACGGCAGCTCCTGGGGGATCCTACAGGCGCTGTAGCCCAGCAGGAGCGGGGGTTTGGCCGGAGGTTTGCAGAGCAGAGGTGATGCATCCCTTTCCCACGAGGTGGCAGTGGGACTCTCCGGGCAGGGATGTGCTGGGGTGGCCCCAGCGCCCGAGGGGCTCCCTGTGGGGACCGTGTGTGTGCGAGTGCTGGGACACCCCGAGCCTGCAGATGCTTTCACCCAATAAAGAATTACTGGAGCAAATCTCAGCATCCCAGTGTGATCGGGGAATACTGTGGGTATGGCTGTCCTGGGAGCACTGATTGTCCCTCTCTGGAGCTGGTGTGCCTGTGATGGGGTAATCCTTGCAGGGATTGCTCATTAAGGAGGGGGGGGAAGTCCTCTTTCTTTAGCGTAAAAGGGCTAATGCTGGTTCATAGCTTCTTAATGATTAGGATGATATTAGAGAGGATCAGGGCAGGGCAGCTGCACATCCCGAGGGAGCAGTGACACCAAGGGGTTTTTCACCGACTTTGTTTAGGTGTCAAACTCACTCCTGCTCTCAGGTAAATGCAATTCTCCCCTTGCTGCTTTAGCATCACACACATCCCAAAGTCTGTGGGGTCCCAGCCTGGCCAGCAGATGGGGGAGAGGAAGAGGCAGAGCTGGTTCTGCCACAACTGGGCCATGGCAATGGTGACATGGTGGCACATCTGTGGTGTCACCAGTGAAAGGCTGATGGAGGCTCTGCCACCTCTCTACCCCCTGTGCTCACCCAGAGGGGAGGACAAACTGGGCTGTGGGGACATGCTGACCACAGGGGCTGGCATGCTGTACATTGCCATCCTGGCCTGCTTGTCTCTTTCTTCCCTGGTGTGCAAACATGAGGGGAGGGAGGAGGGCTGCTCTTCCAGACCTGGGCAGTGGCAGCAAATCCCCAGAACTAAACCTGTCTTTGTGGGCTGCCAGCTGAGAGGAGGGGAGCTGAAAGCATCTCTGCTGAAGGACAGAAATACCTTTCCTGATGAGCTATCCCAGGCTGTCAATATTGCTGGGCTTTCATCTTTTCAGGCTCTGATTCTCCAGCCTCAAAAAGTTTAGTCTGCATGGATTTGGAGGATGGTGGCAGCACCATCCAAACTCATCCAATCCTTCCCTCTCCAGCCTTCACCCACCTTGGAAACAGGCAGGAACTGGACCTCTGCAGGAATGTGATAACAAAGTGCTTAAACAGCACCCCCATGGCCCTGTGATGGCAATGGCTGGACCTGCTGTAGGGTTGGCTTTTGTGAGAGGGCCAGGCTGCTGCCAGAATGCAGGCAGGGCTACACCTACTCCAAGAACAGGTTTTGAAGGGAAAACTGTTCCTTCTCCCATCTGGAGTCTGTGTGAGATGGTAGCCATGGTCTAAAGGATGTGAGGTTCACCTGGAAATGCTGTGTGGGTTTAGGTTTGAGTTTCTAGGTAGAAAAATACTGAGAGAGAGGGGAGACAGAACCCAGCCTGGCTCACCATGCTGCTGCTGTGAGGCTGACTGCAAGACTGACCTCAGTTATTTCTACACCAAAGATTAGAGGGTAAGTAGGGGAGTAGTGATCCAGCACATCCTGCTCAGAGTCCCAAACTTTTCTGTATGGATGGAATGCTGTCTGGCTGTGACCAGAGTGTACCAAAACCAAGCTCTGTACAGCCTGTCCCACAGCTCCTGCACACCCTGACAAATGCTGGTGGTGACCATGAGAACAACCCAGCTTGTTCCTCCTTCCTCTGCCTTGGACTTGGGACTCACAGGATTTGCAATTCCACCATTCTCCTAATCCAGTGCTTGAATCGAGCCCTAGAAGAACTAAGCTGTTGGCTAAGGTGGAGAAAAGGAATGGCTTTCCTCCAGCTGGCTGCTTTCAGCTGAGCTGATTCCCCTGCCTGACCCCTGTTTGCTCTCCTGGCACCAGCAGCTTTGCTCACCCCTTGGAGGAGCTCCAGGAGGCAAAGCAAGAGGATTTGGCCTTGGGACTGAGCAGCCAGGGAGGTGTTGGGAACCAGCTCTCGACTGCCTCTCCACAGTGGTCACTGCTGAGTAATTAGGCAATCCAGGCACCCTCCCATAACCGAGTGGGAATCAAATTCCTCTCCCTTCTCCATGAGAAAGGGCTGTTTGTGCTCTGCTCCAGCCCCACCAGAGGTCAGGCTGGCAGGGGGCTGACAGATCCATTGCTGTGTGCGTGTTGGTGTCTGCATTTTGGTGATGACTGAGGCCTTAATTACTCTTCTAGCTCAGCTGCTCTACTTCCAAAATGGTTTTCAGGGGGCTGAGCTTCCTGCTCATTTCCTGATGGCCTCCAGTGGGGTTCGTGGCCTCACCAACTCCTGGATACCTGGAGTGCTGCTGCTGCTTCCTTTGCAGCTGAAGAGGAGTGTGGGGGCTGCACAGGGGCTGCACCCTGAGCCTCTGCCATTTCGGAGGTTCTTGGGGATCCTTCTGCACGTTTGGGGTGCTGTGGGCTCTGTCTCTTCCAGGCTTGCAGATGAAGCTGTGCTTAGGCTCTGTGTGTGTGTGTGTGTGTGTGTGTGTGTCTTCTGCTGTTTTCCTTAATTACAATCTCCGAGGTAATTTCTGACGCATCATTAACAGTTCTGAGTAAACAAGGGGAATTCTCCAAATTATTTGCCATGAGCACAAAGGGAAATCGACTTTCATCGTCTCCCTCTCCATCCGAGTAAGAAGCTGATCTGCAGTGAGCATGGGGATGTTGTGGCTGCCCTCTGATGCTTTGAGTCTCTTTGAGACAGAGCAGCAACACATCCAGCTTTTCCAGCTGACTGGGGCCAGTTCTGCCCACAGCTTTTTGTCCCCTCTGCTGAGCAAAGTGGCTGGGACTCGTCACCATGCAAAGTGCTTCTTTCCATGACAGCTTTAGGTGCTGCCTTTGAGGATTCACCTCTTGTTTCCAGCTGGATGAATCGGAACATGAGCTGCTCAGGAGATGGGACAGTGCAAAAGCATCCAAGGCTGTGTCTCAGCTTGGAAGGTAAAACCCTGGTTGTGGCTGGTGGGTTGAAGGGTAGCACCTGAGAACAGAGTGGATTTAATGAGGGAAAGAAGGAGCACTGATACAGAGTGCAGGGTTGGGGAGGGAAGGAAGGAGCATTGAAACAGAAGAACTTGGAGCCCAGGAAACTAATTCTGAAAAAAATAAAGAACTAAAGCAAGAGCTCACAGGGATGCTGGTGTGCCCTGTGAGAGCCACAAACACACCTGGCAGCGGGAGGAGGTGGCTGCAGAGGGCTGCTTAGCTGAATGGGAGAGCATTCCAGCCTAGTGCAGGGCTCAGGGGAAAGGGGCCTCACTAGAGGGGTGTCACGTGGAGCTCAGAGCAGGCTGTGCCTGCTGGAGCATCCCTACCCCTGCCCTGCTCTGCCAGCCTCTTCCTCCAGCCACGCTCCAGCACGGTGGCAAAGCAGCTGCAGCAGCAGCCGAGGGAGCGGAGATTATTTATATTCATGCTGCAGCCCTGCCAGCCGTGCCTCTGTTATCTGCCATGCATGAATATTATTTGAATACGGAGTTTGTCCTGACTATTCTTCCATGTGAAACGAGGGATTTGCAGTGGGATGGGAGCCCTCCCTCTGGCTGTCAGTCAGGAGGGGTTTCCTTTTCCTGTCTCGTTGGAAGCCGCGTCCCCAGCAAGGTGAGACAGTGGACACTTTTTCTCTTGTTAATATCCATGTCTAATCTCCTCTCAGAGGGGCCCTTTGTCCTAGACTGTAGCCAAGATGAGTAATTCAGGGATAGATGAGACGCTATAATTGGTTTGTGACAAATTAAAACATTTTTCCTTGGGAGCTGAGAGCAGGACTGTGGTCTG